ATTCAATATTGCCTGCTCCCGGCACGCTCTGCGGGGTACGCGTAAACATCACCACATAGTCTTCCGTCTCACCGGAGGTATAAGCACCGCACCCCTGGTTAGCCGGGGAAGAATGATTCAGATCATTGTTTAAAATAACCCTTAGGCCGGTAGGCACATTAGGCACTACGGTATTGGGAATCGTAATCATGGTATCCAGGTAAAACCGGCCCGCAGTTGTGATACCGGAATACACCAGCTCGCTGTTTGGCGTAGCCGCTACATCATACGTCAGGTTATTATTATAGTCGATAAATACACTGACACGTGCATCGCTATGGTTGGCTACAGGCATTGTATGATAAACAGATAAGCGATACCGCCCATTGGCACTTAGTACAATATTGGGGATCTTGGTATAACTTGTTCTTCTCCGGATGGCATCGGGGTTGCTGATATGCGGCCCACCGGAAGAGTTGACCATCGTCCCGATAACCACAGCACCAATATCAGAAGAGTCGGTCTTTCCGCCATCCGACTGGCTGTAGCAGTAACATTCATAAGGCTTGTTGATTCGTACCTGTACCGGGTTAGAGTAGCTGGCATCTCCGGTATTATAACAAATCATTTTCAGGCGGAAGCTGGTATTGTTTGAGACAGGCACTTTATTCAGGGTATCCTTATTAGCGCTATTAGGCACATCAGTCCATGACAAGCCGCCATCCGTACTTTGCTCCCATAACCAGGAGATGAGCGAAAGCTGTTTTTCATGCGTCGTGTCCGATAAGTCTACCGTATAACCCCTGCAAGTCGCGGTATCAGTTACATTGGCGGTACCGGCATTCACAGGTCCGGAGCAAAGCGGATAACGGACATTGACCAGGTAATCTTCTGCCTCGCCAAACGCAGAGCCCGTCGCATTACAGGCCATTGCCGGGCGTATAACAGCACGGTCGCCACCACGGATGCGCATACGCGTTATACCCACCTTAGCGCCTACCGGCACCTGTATCGGGATACGGGCTTCCCCGTTCGCACCGGCATTGGTACCCAGTGTATAGAATTCCGAAGCTTCAAAGCTACCGCTATGATCAAAGTCAATCCACAGCCCACTATAGTTGGTGGCATTGGTACTGTGTTTTATAAATACCGTATCTGCCACACCCATCGTTAAGGTAGGTATGCGCACCGTAGCCGGCTGGCTCGGGGCAAAGTCTGAATACCAGGGAGCAATAGCAGTAGACGTATTATTAAGATCTTTCAGTCTTACATTGGCGATCGAATTCACCGCAGCGCCGGTGGCATATACAGGCGTACAATAACAACCGATAAA